GACCTCTAACCATTGACCAACCTGGTATGAGAGACTCTGTGAGTGTCGCGCGGACACCCCCCAGTATAGCTCAATGGGTCGCCGAGGTACACAAACCGCCACACCACGATAAGGTCCAGTCTCTTCGTGTCGGGCGGCTCATCACAATGAAGCGAACAGGTGCCGCTGGCCCCAGGCATATCTGGCTGGCCCAAAGTATGTAAGTTGACTGACAGTATCCGTGGATAAACACAGAGGTGGAAAATACTGATTTTTCTGACGAACTGCATCATAAGGTAGCTCAGATGACCCAAAAGACCATGAACGGAGGAGCATAATCGCATGTACATAAATTCAGTTTATCTTCTGCCTGCTTGGCTAGTCATGAGAGGCAGCTAACCTGACAACCAGCCTTCTCGGTACAAAGGCTCCTGTTCGGCCTCACCGCAGCAGACAAGTCACGCACACTGATCGACACTCGGCAGCTACGCCTGGTTGTCTTAGTTCAATTTCATGCTGAACGTTATGTTTTGTGAGGCTTGAGACACTAGGTCGCTTTCAAGTATCACTCACACGGGGTCGCGCTGACTTCCTAGGCACATTTATACATAATCCTAGTTGGGGTTTCCGTAAACCTGAGAGCACTCTTTGCTGTTGCTCAGATAATCCAGAAGTACAGCTGCCACGTTCTGCGCTGACTGAACTTCATTTTACAGTTTGGTAGTCTGGTGTTCACTCATAACCCAAGGCCTAATGGAAGAATCGGATGAGTTAGGCAAATCATGTTACGTACATGACCAGGTATGAATTCGCGATTCCTATAGGATTCAAAATCCACTTGTGCACGCATATCAGTGGTTGGAAGTTTGCGTTCATTTTTTGTTTAGCGGAATGCAAATAACACTGAGGATTCATGGACGAGACTTTGAAGAACAATCGATCCACCAGTGAATTTTTACGTGTTGCGGGTGATTGGCATTTAAATGGCCTTTCATCGGATTTTACCGTTCCGGTGCTCAAAATACAGTCGTTTCCTCCCCTCCTCCACTTTCGAACATTCCAGGCCACTTTTCAACAGGATAAATGCAAAATCGGTAGAAAAAATAACGAACTCAAATCTGTTTCTATAGACAGTTAGAATCCAACTAGCTGTTCATCCGTCTGGCCATAATCAGTCACTGATTGACTAGTTCATTTAAACCAACCAAAAATCACAGAAAACAAATCCACAAACGACCAAATATTCTTACTCATGCAACGTTTTGTACTTCCTACCTGACTTTCATTGAAGTTTTCAAACTCGTTCCATAAAACGTTGATATTCTCACTGAACAACATGTCACTATCCAGGAGGATTACCTGTGTGGGAGAAAATAGACACAGTGATTGTTCTACATTAACCAATACAGTGAGACCATTATGGAACAGCACACCGGATCTCGCACTCTGACAGGACTAGAGAGGCATTTAGTGGGTATACTTCCGTGATTCAACCAAACCATATGGATTGTTTGGTGGAACTAGTGAATGGTTTGATCCAAATTGATGCTTAGAGGGACTGATGTGTATCCGGAGAAAGGATGAGGCAGTCAAAGTTTGTCGGCCCGTCACAGCAAAGTACCAAATGATTTTTTGTCATCCAAATTAGTGGAACCACCAGAAGTAAATATTTTTCCACTTATTTGGTATCTCAATTACCAGAGTTTCGTAATGTAGCTGTGTTTATGGTCTTCTTTCGCACTCTCGTGCTGCCACAGGACGGACACAACCGGAAGTAGTTCCACCGAGTTGCATAATGCTTGGTATTGATATAATATAGTCACAAAACCACCTAGTTTTACACAACATTTTGATAGTTTGGGTGTGCAAATCTCAAATCGGAAAGAAAGACTGCAACACTTTAGTCATGTGAAGCTAATACAGAGTGTGCCATGACAATATTTTTGGGGCTGTTACCGTATTTGTAATCAGTGTTATTAAAACCGGGCCTTGAAGACTACCAGAACTTGTCAGTTTGGCGGCTAGGATAACGTCACCATGGTTATCTCCGGGATTCTGCTGACTACCCAGAAGAACGCTAAATAACTTCAGATATACCATTTTCCAGATATTCCTACTGTTCAAGCATGGGTTGACGGCTCAAATTGCAGCAACATTGGGGAAATGGAAACTGAAATGATGTTGATGGTGTTGATAACACAAAATTTTGATTATTCGATCTTTATAAAGCGTTTTCAAAACTCTTGATTGTCTAAATAGATGAAAAATTTCAAGGTAACCATTGCCATGTCAGAATATGCAAAGTTTTCGTGTAAATTTTGCTGAACCTATCCACGAAGAACGACCGAATGGTTGAAGCCATTCACGTGAAACATTGTCATGACGTTTAGACAACAGAGTTAATCTGATACCACATGCATTTGGCATTCTACACAATCACTATCGGCCCTAGCTGCACTATTCCGAAACAAATGAAGAAAGACTTGTTTCTTGAAAGCTTAACAAATATGCTCACTTTATTTACTCCAGGAGTGATTACTTCTGGCACAGCAATTTTGACCAAGGCAGCGATTCCAGCCGTGTGAATATCCGGAATAGCCTGAACGTAACGCTGTCAAAGGATTTAAAAGGGTTTTCTTCTGTAAAGGAAGTTAAATTTAAACGTCATGGAACAATGAACTCCAACGACAGTTCATAACGACGACAGTGAATAAATGATCTACAACTAGGTATTTTGGTACGAAACGCGTAATGTTCCTGTATGACTCAGTGCATATCTAGGGGATTCGCCCACAAAACTACTTACGCTATGCTGGCTGATTCTTGGATTGGCATGGCATTAAAAAATGACCTACACGCCTGCCAGTTTTCATGGCTTTCAGCGGTAATCAGCGACATTGGTCTACCTAGAAGAAACATTTCACAAGGTGGTGCTCTCTGATTAGGAAACATAGGGTGGATTAAGACTGATTTGATTATCTGAATTTAAAGTTCAAAGTTTAGATTCCCTATCCCAAAAGCCCAAGCGTCCACTGGCCTTCACTCTGAAAGGGACATGTTTTTTTCGCTGATTTAGCGTAGATGTCGAAATTTGTTGGGAATCCGGTTACTGGCCATTGGTCAGTACTATTCATCTTTCGGCGGAGAGATTGATAAACGCCGAGCCATTTATTTCGAATCTTTGAGAAAAGATTAATTGTAACGCAGACGCGTTTTTTCACAGATGAGCAAGCCCTTTTTGATTTCGTCTTAAATGTGACTGTAAAGTCTGATTCACAGTTCTCTTGACTGTTCCATTCACAGCCTACGGCTAAGCTCTAATATAGTGCTCACAGATCTAATGGTGAGACGAATGGAGCCTTAGTTACTAACGTAAGCTTGTTAGGAAGGTATCTCAGGTTATGAGCTTTATTGCGGACATTCTACTATAGGTAAGCGCCGAACAACGGGAAAGGAATAATGATAGGCGTGTTGCTGTGTCGGCAAACAAACGGCGAATGTTCCACCCTTCTGATGACACTAGTTCACTTACTAGATCACATAACCTTGGACTAGTCTATTCGGAAATTTGTAAAAACAACTTAGCTTACCATCAGTGAATCAAAAGGATAAAAGGTGAATTCTACGTCCCGAATTCGCCAGGTGTGAATTACGTTAAGGATGAAATCCATACCCAGACTGTCCAGAAATAGATGAATGTTCAAAGGATTGTAAAGAACCGTCAGTTGTTTGGGACAGACATAGTCACGTTGAACTGTATAATTTAGTTTACATTCCTCACTGGACGAGTTGAATCTCCCCTGATAGTACAGCAGATTCTTCAAGAAGTTCATTAGTTGGTATTCCTGATTTGGTCCAGACAGTATAACTGCAACATCAATGGTATCAGCAAGTCTCACCATCTGTCGGAAAAAAAACAAGGAGCATAAAAACAACAGCCTCAAAGTTGATAAATTAGAAAGCCTGCAAAAATAGTGCCAAGTTGCGAATAAAATGGGACCTAGAAAGGTCTTTCGACAGAAGACGGATTGAGAGACTAATGCACATTCCTTGTCTTTTACGCTTTGGTACGTTCTAAGTGGGTCTAACTTCACGACTTCCAGTGATGTCTCATCGCTGTTCCTACACCTGCCAGTGTTAATCAACTATTGTTCGGCGAATTCTAATTTCTGGTGTTCATTTTCATTCACTTGGATTTCACAAACTTAAAGCCTTCAATGGATTGAGGACGACAGAAGCTGACAAATGCTATGTGAAAGAAGTTCTCCATCAGTTATGTGTGTGTGCTATGTGAAAGAAGTTCTCCATCAGTTATTTCTGATAACTGTCATGGACAAACTGCACTCCGGTGGGTTCCTAAAATCCTCCAAACAATCGTCTGTAACCCCAATTGAAACACAGCTGCACATAAGGAACACGGCGAAATAAACCGAGCAACCTTTAACCTGATGCGAGAAATGCATGAATTAACCATATTGAGGATAATTCACCAAGCGTGGGAAGCCAAGAGAGCATAACCTTATGCTCGGAAATATCAACGAACACGCACAAGGGATTGAATAATGGCATATGAAGAATTCTGTGATAACGAATGAAGTTATTGCACTTCATTTTTTGCTCACCTGAAGCCACAATTTAGACCTCACTTTTCTGGGCACGGGTCCTATGAGAAACGTCAAAGCCAGCAGCAGAGGGAATGCATTTTTGGATTTAATACAATGAAAATTAAAATGTATGGTGCTGACCCCAATAACATTCTGATTTCCGGATGTAGCTAGTTAGTTCCTGTAGTCCAAATACAAAGGAAAATTACGGGCAAAATACGAAAGTACTGTCACTGTAAGTCACCTCATTTTCATTCAGCTTCTGCGTGCCTGCAGTCACGAGTAGCAACAAGCATGCACCAAGTTGGACCGTATGGAAGTACTATTGAGAAACAGTACACTCCATACAGCACTGTGGAGTCTTTCATGGTCTTTTCATTATGAGCAAAGAAGGAAAAGGACAGAATTCGCAAGTCTTCTACTCGTAAACCTAAGGCTAATTTTCGCTCTGCTGAAGTGACTCACTTGTAGCTGTCCTAGGGTACTTTGGTGAAGACTGCGCTCCAAGATATATAGCCGGACCAACAGAACATAGAGCAGAATGGCAAAACAAATGACATTGATTGCGTTCTTCATAAAAGTAGGCGATCGACATCGTTCCAAACTGAGACATGGGTTTCGTTGTGTAGAAATTGTGGAGTATTGTGGGGAGAATAGATGCGACATCCGACTCGTTGGTCTCTCCCTTAAATTTAGGAATAAAACTCTCATAGTATTAAAAGCAAATCAACACCAAAACACTGCTAACTGCGATTGCCAAGAAAAACAAAAATATCTGAGAATGCAACAACTCAAGACTCGCTGCAATTCTCATTTGAGCGTATCTTCAAGTTGTAATGTTTCGTTCCAGTTAGTTTCTTACCACCCCATGTATGCTTGAAAAGAGTTTCATCACCCTCTTTGAATGTTCTTGGATTACTGTTGGTGTGCATGAACCTATAGATTTCTTACACCAGCCACCCAAAGTCAACGTTATGGGGGCGTCCATAAAACGTCTAGCTGTCATTTCTTGGTTTCCACACTCTTATTCCATGTCCTTGGAGTGCCTGAAAATGGCCTCTGGTCGTTGGCATGTTCGCTGAGCTGGACAATTTGATTGCAAATATTTCATCGCCAATCGAGGTGACATCATCAATGCGTTATTGGGGAGCGTAGTGGTGCGTAGCAGTGGGTTATTGGTTGTGCGTTGGGTAGTGTTACGTGTGTGCTAATATACGTGCTGCTAGCCGAAGATGACCTTTGATCGCGACTAGTTTTTCAGTTGGGCGATTCCACTGGTTGCTCTGTTATCCCATGTTCTCATTCGCCAATGCCCACGTGACTTTTGGGCTTGGCATCCCCCGCCGTCGTAATCTGGTCGATGTTGGAGTGACCTTTGTCCTTCCGAGTCCCGGCTTGTGACCTCTGTTGCTTTGGCTCCAAGGTGTTCCTTGTTTTTGTTTGTGAATCCAATATTCGGTCCTCCTTGAGGAGGAACCGCCCGACCGAACAACTAATCGCGATCAAATGTCATCCCCGGCTAGCAGCATTTATATTAGCACACACGTAACACTACCCAACGCACAACCAATAACCCACCGCTACGCACCACTACGCTCCCCAATAACGCACTGATGATGTCACCTCGATTGGTGATGAAATGTTTGCAATAAAATTGCCCAGCTCAGGGAACAAGCCAACGACCATCTCCCCTACCTGAGCTACCAACATTTTCCTCCATAGAAAACAATGGACCCTGTTCTTATATGCGCACCTCGCCGGCTGTCCACACCGTGTTGTAACACCTCAAGTTTTTTTCAAACGAAGCACCTTACACTAACATGGAGTTTCGAGATGATTCTGTCTGTGAGAATGCTAGTTTCTTTACTGAGTTGCATTAAGCAATCGTTTTTGCGGTAGATTTGAGTGTGTGTAAGCACACCCTGCGCAGTATGCGTAATCGAATAGTTTATGTGAATAAGCAAGTGAATCGTTTTGTTAATCCCTACCAGACACACTCAACTACTCTCAGTTGCAACCTGATTTCATTTTGGCACGCAACTCAACTCAGTCCACCTGAATCTCTCATTTGTGTTGGTTTTCTTCAGCTGAATGTGTTGCACAAAGCTATTGAATTAAGTTGAGTCTCCCTTTAAAAACAGAATAATGTGTAATGAGACTATCTGGCGAATTCCGTCCAATTTGGCTTTGAACAGAACACAAGGTCGGTGGAAAATCGGGGCTGAGCCCAAACAGTGAGCACCAAGAAGGGCAAAACCAGTCACGGAATGTCGAAGACTTTCCAGTTGTATTGTGTTACCTCTATACCTTACCGGGTAAGTTTCAAATGTGCGCAAAACTCACGGATTTCCCTATTACTATCAGGGGAGAACTTGGTAATGTTGGAGTCTTCGTTGCTCATATCGTTTCCCGTCCACAGCTGGTCTGTCCGATTACAGGGAGATTTCAAGAACCAGAAAATTGAGATATTCCGGGGGTGGAATTTGGAGACCTTTTTCCGGGTTGCAATGTATCACGTTAGCCGTTGACGGATTCCACGCAAAACCTGACGGGACGGATATACATCGCACATGCGTGAAGAAACCGAAAATTTTGGAGTAGGTCATCGGAACGATGACTTCGTGATGCCTCCCGTCCCAGCAGTGGCGGCTACTACCAGCTAGTGGCAGCAGTTAATGAGTTCGGGTATGTCTGCTGCCCTGTCGTCATTCATTTTTAGTAAAATCTATTCCCTTCTGAACGAAACTCACAGTCACCTGGTTTGTGACATCCACCACTGGTTTTTCTCACCATAGCGTAAACCAGTTAACTATCTTCTATTTGAGTACCACTTACCCCTTCGTTTCATTTTCACGTTTGCTAAGTCTTCTGTCGATGGCAGCTCACCAGCAGTACCTTTATTCTTTTTATCATGATTTGGACCCAAGAGGCGAACACCTCGTCATCGCTTCAACTAAGATATTCAGTGATTATGATCTTTAATAAAAGCGAAATTCGAGTGCCGCACTTTTCCTTTTTGTTTTCAACTCGCGCCAGCACGGGATGAGGGTTTTCGAAAGCGTACAATGTGCATGTGAACTGGTTTGGCCATTCCACGTAATCAGCTTTCCCGAGGTTACGGTACTACTAAATTTTGGACCAATCACTGCAACCGGTCATTCTACACTTCAGCTACTAATGTTCCTGTTGTCTTTGGATGAAAAAGAGACATTCACAAAAAATCGAGATGAAAAACATTACTGATTTCCTTCAAGAGTTGTTTGGATATCTGTAAGAATGAAATCTGGCCTGAAAGCTTTACAATTTTAGAACATGGTACCGAACCCGGTAAATCTCAAAAGCATCTGCTGGTTTTTTAAAACCTGTAGATAGTCCTAAAGTCTAATAGTTAGCTGAGGAATGGTTAGGTAAGCATCGACCTGCACTGAAAACAAGGCAATTTTGATTTCAGGTCCACTTCACTATAAGTTATCAAAGTTTGCCATTTATCCGCAACGGAATAATTAAGCGGACCCTCCGAGGACCGCCGAACTGGCTTTCTTTCGAAATAAAAAAAACCGTTGTTGATAATTTCTACAGGAGTTATATTCATACAAATTAACGTTAAGAAAGCCTGATTATAAAGATGGAAATTCTCTGAACATAGTTAAACATGACAAATGTGGTGATGCACAACACTTTCCATCATGATATTCTGTTTCTGAGAGTAAGGGTTTGAAACATGTACTCGCTAAATCATTCAATACGATTTTGTGTACCTGCTCCAAAGTAGCTTCATTTGGATCTGTTGCGAATGCTTTGATCAATATCGGCTTCAGCTTGACAAAATCATCATTCTTACTGGATCCCTCCTAGAGGGACTCAACCTTTGAATCGGTATAACGTGCACAGCGAAATGATGGGGGAGGGGCATTTGAAAGGAATAAAGTGAACAGTAGGATTACTGCGGAACTTACCGCAACTGGAGTTGCATGCAAAAACTACAAACGAACCGCTGTAGTTAGACGATCATATCATACAACATAAGATCACTTAGTCTATACGAGGTCATTGTTTGCGACAATCAGCAAACGTGTCCCTCCAATCAACGGTCGGGATGGAAAACTAGTTACCGTCTGATAACTAGGCCAGCCTCACCTTGAATAAACTGACACACTGCTGCCTGTTCACTTCTGTAAATGCGTGTTTTTAACTCCACTCGGCAGATGTGACACAGTACATCCCTCTTCCTGGCCAACTAAACCCTACAGGTGAATCGCAAACCTGTCATAAGCATACGCCTAGTGCTCCACCGGTGAGACGTAGACACCCATAACTGTACTGTAACTGATAAGTGAGCGCAAACTTAACTGATGAAAATACCTGTGCCGTAGAATGCATAAGCTTCGAAATGAAATTACCACAGAAATGGTGCTTCTTAGTCCCAATTGAAATAATTGAGAGGCCATGCCTTGCGTTATACTTCTCGCAACCAAGTAAATCTGTCTGCAATTAATTTGGTCATATAATCGATCGAAATCGGGAAACATTGCAACACCGCAGTCTAGATGAAAGGAATTGTGGTGTCAGGCTTTAAAACTTATCAAACGATTTGTGCTTTTGGTATCTAAAAAGCAAGACGAACGAACCCTCTATCTATTATTACTGTCAGGCGTTTCAAGAGATGATTTCATTCGTGCAATGATCTTGATGTCATTAAGTATTGGGCGAAAGTATATCATCGATTCCGGACTTCAACCAACAGTACGGCCCCATTATCACTGCTTCCTTAGTCAACGCAGTTTCCATCGTTCGTCTGGTGACAATTGCTAATAACAACCGTGGGAGTCAGAGTAACGGAGACTTGAAGTAGTCGCTAACATTGATAAGTGCCCTGTTAAGAGCAAAAAGCAACCAACGAGTCCAAAACTACCATGAAATTGACTCACTCTCAGCACGATGCACTTATTTGACTTTGACACTCAATGGGGAGCTGACTGGAGGCCCACTCAATAAATACCTGTCGCCCAGATGTGGAAATATATCGGAAGCAATTTTGCTATTTAGCTTCGGGGATGTGTCCCCTCCAAGGTTCACATAATCACGAGTTCTTTCCTGTTCAACCTGCCAGCAGTGACTGGGCGTAGCATATCCAAAAATTCAGTTCATTGGCGAACACTATACCACAGCACAACGGGTGTTCGTCGAATAACACAACGAAACGTCAATCTCCCGACCATATGCCCAGTTGAACAAATAATGTATCTACAGAAACCAAAAGGAAGAGTAAAGAATGGCTTCTTCCTTATAAATTACCCCTATACCCTCCTTAACCCCGAACACGTACGAGAAACACTCTTTGTTCTGTCTGCCACAATTTCTTACCTTTCCTTGCTAAGTCAATAGAAAGCACTCGGGTACTGACCCTGATTAAACTTCTCGTAGTACCCCTAGTAGACTAGTTGGTGTCGTCCCTGTTAGTATTCATCCAGCTTTATTAGTGAACGGGTGAGTTTTCGACCAGTAAATAAACCATCCAGTTTGAGGTAAAACCCCTATCAAAGGCCTAGCTCAACGGGCAAAGCACTCATGTTGTGTGCGATGGAAAAATTGACAGGTTAACAGTGCCAACAGCCATACTATGGACACACATTAAAGCACCCATATAAACTGCGCCTACGATGAAGTTTCAAGTGGTCACTTGACCCTAAATCAACCATAATGAAAGAAAAACTGGCAACCATTTACACAATAATGATAATCGCTCCAGTCCGTTAGCATAAAAACCTGGCGCACACACAAACACTTGATCGATGGATCAATATGATCAGCTTGTGAAATAAGAGACCTTGTTAACCGACTCCGTGCATGTTAACTCAGATATTCTGCTTGACCATTTGGCTGCAAATTCAAGGGTGACTACATACCTGATAGCCAAGAGAACACTGCCGATTGACACATTATAAGGAGAATCCGGCAGATAATAAAACACCAGAAATGTATAACCGCATTTCATACAATCATTACCGCCCTGTCTACCACGCATGCTTGAATCAACTGATAAACTTCTGGCAAACTTCACTGTGATTACTGAGGACCGCGTTATTCATTTACTTAGGGCTGTTGTTAAAATTAATGAGAACAAGGAATCCAATAAAATGAAGTTTTACGTAGGCTGTGGCCTATGTTACAAGCCTCTTGTCATTATGAATTTCCCATACGTAGCTCGTCCGCATGCCTTCCAACTGTTCCCATCCTCGGTTTCCATGTCCAGACGAAACAGGGAAAAACTACCAGGAACCTAGTTTTCCAAAAGCTTTGACAATAAGATGAATTAAAAACTAGCATTCTTCAGAAGGGCCACTGCAAGCAAGACAGGCGTCAGTGGACGCAATGTCATGAATCATTACCATGGAGATTATTATGTATTAGCTGTGCAGGCGCGTGGCAAGAGACCGGTATCTAGGACGAAACACCCCAATTATCTGGCTCGTGCGTTTTCGGATAAGGGGTAAGTAATCGGGCACCTGACAGATCGAGGGAAATGGTGCTACAAAGCACAGATACTTATTGGGAGGCTTGAAAGAGAGTGAAAGTTCGCTCGAAATCCAACAAGCCGGTGTTGTTTAGTTGCATGACAGTTTGGCTAAAAGCAAAAGAAGCATTCAATGTGTTTTGAAAATGGGTGGTGAGGAGTCGACAGTCAAGAAGTATATAACATACAAACGAAACCCGACTGTGGAACAGAAGGGTTCTGAATAGAGGGACCAACCAATGGTATGGGATTTCCAGCAAACAATGAGCCACATACTTTTGCTATCCAAGTGGCGATCAGAGTGTTATGGATTTTTATCCGATGGGGAAACTGTATCCGACTTTGAAATGAATCATTCTGTACCAAGCTTTCTACCATAGATAAGAATGACGGGAACAGAACAGCGTCCCAGATGGACCGTGAGTTTTCGTGTTGAATTGGGATTTACAATAGCTCCCATTTGGAGGGGGCGTGTTTCACAATCGAGCTAGACATATTTACATTAACTGAGAATTTTTTCTAGTTCGCCCAAATAGCGTTATTGATAACGGCAAGTGAACCACTCTAATACTCGACTGAATGTATAATAAGCTGGGAAATCGTTGTATTGCCGTCCATCAAGCCTGTAAATTTTTCAGCGTCATTCGAGACATCGTCTTCATGTTGTTGTACTTAAAAACGTACATCCTCCGGAAGGTGACATTTTTCATGAAAATATGTTTCTCATGGCGTCAGAGGAATAGATTTCCGGAAACGACTGAACACCAAAAACAATGGAAGCAGCAAGAACTTCTACTTAGGACTGATTTACTTCCCTCAGGGTTGGAAACACGATGCAGAATCATTGAAGACACATTGTTGAAAATAGCTATAGATTGTTAAAGCATGGTCGTCCACCTATTAAATGACTAAAAAACAGTTAATGGAGCCAACGGAGAGGGTGGGGTCGATAATTGCACACCAGAGATGAGCAATTCTGGAGAAGACAAATAATATGCATCTCATCCTTACGCTGGAAACTCACCTACTATTAGGCAACAACTACCTACTGGATTGAAATTTGTCGGATGTACGCTTCAGCACCTCATCGCGCTCCTAACTCTAAAATCACGTGCGCATGATTTTTTACTTGTTTTTGGACATACGCCAAACTGAGGATCAGCTGGCATCTTGAGCATCCCAAACCGCAACCGCCCATTAACGGTTCTCAATGACAAAACCGCGGATATCAATTCAACCTTCATTTAAGTATCACAGGCCGACGGTTCATTCAATGCCCGTTCAGGTTTTCAGCTGACCACTTCGGCGGGAACGCCAAACTCCGTAACAATTTGAAACAAGCGCTAATATGAAAATCTCCGCATGGAGGAGATGAAGAATATATTCAAATCATTAAAGTCGACGTTGTATCGGTTGTTCTAGTGGAACCATACCAAGCTGGGTAGCGCGTCATCTAACTGCTGCGATGCGATGTGCCTTTTCTCAACTCGCCATGCGCTTCAATTACCGGAGGAGGACAAATCCTACCAGATAAGCCATCATATGCTGCTTATTCTTTGGCCCCCGGTTGGCTTGCCGATATTTTTCCCCTGCTCACAGTACAAAGACAATAGTACTCTCCGCTAAGTTACTACTGTATCACAACTTGTCGTTAGCTACACCGACACCTTCTAAGGACAGGCTGTTCTATTGTAGTATACTAAAGATGCTTCATAAAATTGAATTTTTGGCCTTAGAAGAGCAACTGATGATTGAACAAAGCCACGTTAGACATTGCAAATGCGTCAAAGTGGAATTGTCTCACCACCTACAGGAATGCGCACAAGGTGTTAAGAACTGCTCCTAAATATGGTCGTTGCAGATTATTGGGTTCATCATCTACCATGCCGTCCGGACTCTCGATGGGTTCGCAGAAAACCTCAGAAAATGGATAAAGGTTACCTAACCCAAAAGCCTAACCCTCGGCTGTTGCTTAACTCTAACACGTCGGAGACCTGGCTGTCTTGAAGAATTCTCAGAACCGCTCAGTTCTGTCATTGTGTATAATCGAAAGTTATCATAACGCTCCCAGGTGTATTTCCAGTGATTAACACACCAAAACGAACTACTTGTCTACTTCTTTCATACCTTTTCCAAATTTTTCACACCTTACGATCGACCTACTAGAGCCACATTATTGAACGCGTTATGTAGTTCACGCAAACGGCAGCTAAATCAAAATTGTCTTCCATTCTAAATGATACTTGTCACTAGCGTCAACAGTCAAAAACGACGGTCAAGGAACAAACCGAATCGAATCATTTTCCGTTAGACATGGTAAAACTTGGAGACCATATAGCATGGAATACCGGCAATCTGTTCTATTATTTTATGTCACAAGCGAACAGAAAAAAAAGAATATGGGGCACGAAAGGAGCTGATTTCACCTCCAATTCGGCCATTGTTTTTTCGACGCTTCTCTCGTCATCTGTCTCAAGAAAATCAGGATGAGGATCTGATGTGCCAAACCAGAAAAACCAACTTGCAACTCAACCGTCAAACAATCAGCGCAAACTCCGAAAGCGCCCGAAAAGACGTTCAAAGCAACATTGTGTCCGACATTTAGCAGTGTGATGGAGTCTCGATACCGGAGTTTACACGAAATGATTCGAAATACAAGTAAAGATTATCTGACAAATGCCTGCTATCAGGCTCGTAGGAGCTCAGTAAAAGGTAAAACGACCTATCCGCATGACCCACATACAGAAAGAAAAGACTGTGTTTCAAAAAGTAGTTATTAAGTGAAAAGCACGTTCCGTAAAGTTTTGTGGAACAGGACACGACGCCAGTCAGAGATTTGTGAACTTAAGTTCAGTGTACGGGAAAAAGAATCAGTCAAAAGCCTTGAGAAACTCCTCTGCACACTGACGAGCCCGAGAATTCACAGCTAAGCGCATTTCCGAGATCTCCTTATCGATTTCATCCATAAAGGTAATGACGAAATCGACCACTTTGGTTTTCGACATTTGTTCCGTATGAAAATTGGTTATTAGGAAGCTGATATCATAACCCTGAAGAAAAACGGGAAACAAGGGAAAAATGCAATAACAGTTCATGAAACAAACAAAAGAACGATGCTATCGCGTGATTTATCTGAACAGACCAGTAAACAAGAATAGTGAACGTAAGTTCGATGGAAAACAGATCTCCCAAAGATATCCCAACCAACGCAGCTGTTCAATGGAAAACCCGTTGTACGACCGAAAACTCGCTTTCTAACTGCCTCGTTAATAATATGCCGACACCAACCCACACTAGCTACGGTTGTAAGACAACGATTGTCGAACACCT